AGCAGAAGAGCCGCGGCACAGGGCGGGTTACACAATGATTGGTGCATTTCAAAAGCTGCTGACCTGAGTCGTATTAGAAACAGCATCAGCTTCCATTTCAATCCATAAACAAACCCTGATAAACATGAGGAAAGTTACCCCAGAGCGCGGAATCCGGACTGGTCCAGGTGAGCCTGCTGTCTGTTCGAGTTGAAGCCCAACTGGGGTCTCCACGGCCCCCTGTTCCCCCTCTCCCAGTCCCCTGGCTTCAGGACCTTATTGGGCATCCTGGGGAAAAAAGAAGGTAATTTGCATAATTCACAGAGACAATAGAAACCCCTCTAAGAAGTCTGATGCATCACAATCAAACACACTTTTTACAAAAACTCTGAAATTAAAAATTCACATATAAAATGTAATAATTTTGTTTCACTTCTCTGATTGACGGCTTTGCTCCCTCTCTTCTACACTTCACTCTCTAGCCGTTTCCACATCTGCACTCTAAAATATCATTTCAGGATACTCTCCTGACCGGGCTGTTCACACATGCTGATTATATCCTGCTGCGTTCTCACATCAGCTCACTCTCACTCTGACTTGCTGCGGGGAAAAAAAATGGGAGGAGGCCGGCAGGAAAAACTCTGGGTGACGTCTGAGAGAAAAATTTGGCTTTTTTTTTTTTGCGTTCACACATGCAGCTCCTCGGGAAATATCAGGAGTTTTCTTCAAGTGTGAAAGCCCAACATGGGATGCTCAAGTGCTTCACATCTTAAAGTCTAAAATTAGATCTTTTAGTGGAAAAGCTACGAAAAGGATTTAACTCGATACAAAGTTTAAAACGCTGGGAACCTTAATTCTTATGAACAGTACTTCAAAAACTAACTGGAGCACCAAATGTTCAATCCTCCCTCGCTGAAGGTAGTCCAGGAATAAAGCTCTGTTTACTCTCTAACACAGTCTGAAGCTGTTAAAAAACTAACCTGACTGGAAACTTTCAAACTATGTCACTATATAGACATATATTCAATCTTAACATCTCCTATATGAACAAACTGGTTTGAATGGGAGAGCCTCAGATGAGGCCGTGAGGTCAGAAAATGTTGAGACGGATTGTTGATTTGATCGCTTTGTTGAAACACAAAGAATCACATGGTGAGTCTTTAATAATGACGAGTGTGAAAATGAATGGGGGGGGGGGGGGGGTGACGTTATGAGAGAAGCATTCCTGACATAAATAAAAGTTGAAGAAAGAAAACAAGCCTCACTTGGCTCCGGGGAGGAGGACTGCCTTGAACACAAAGTCATCTGCAAACTGAGGATCCTTGAACCTCACTCTGCAAAAGAGAAAAGAGAAATCACTTTCAATTAAAAGCACAAAGCAGCTTCCATTAGCTCATGTGTTTTTTATTATTGAAAAGGGAAATGTATCTCCTCTTCAGCAGAGAGATTCTGAGTTTTTGGAGTTCCACGTGGAGTATTATTATCCTGTCATTAAGTGTTGTCATTTTCTTCTCCACCTGCCTGCTTCTACTTCACCCCGCCGTTCTGTTTCACAGGAATGTCTTTTCACCCTCGGAGAACGGCAGCACGCTCGTTTTCCTTCTAATGACAGGTGGGTGTACTGGTACACTGATACACACCGACACAACGATGGAGGACAAGCGGCTGAAAACGTCTGCGAGGAAGGATATCAGTGAATCACAGCGACCCTTTAATTTAAGCCCTCCTCTGTTATTCTGAGCTCCATATGAAGGTTTGTTGTGTTTATTTCTGAGATTACATTGTGCTCCAAATTGCAGGTTTGACTCATACAGAAGGCGGGGAGGGGGGTTAGGGTTAGAAGGGGGAGGGGGCACAAATAGCCTCAAACACATCCCCATGTAATACAACATCTACACTGCAAACTACAGCAGAAGAAATGGCCACCGTTCAACCAACAGCCGTCGTCTTTCCAGAAACTCAATTTTATCAAATTGTTGGTATATTTTCCCCTACGATTCATTTGGGATGACGAGACATCCTGCCACTCCAAAAGAAAAGCTTTAAACACATTATTAATGAAATGTACAGATGTTAAATGCACTCATGTATTTCAGCAGAACAAGAAGGTCTGTTAAGCGCGTCCTGTTCAGCACATTCACATAGAACACTTCCAAAATGGCGGTAATGATTTGCAACTTGTGATTTGGTTGGCAGCCTTCACCCAGCGAAAAACAACTCCTGGGAAAACGTGTCGTCTGAGTCTCGCGATAAGAGGAATCCAAGAAAAACTCTAATTTCCACATAGTCTGTGTGCACGTTGTGATGTTGTTCGCTCCCACTCTACAGTCAACAGCACTCGCCGCAGAGTCTATTTTTGAACGATTTCTGTATTAAGACATAAATGTAGAAGACAAACGTTTCTTACCCGATGGCGCTGCACTGTGAAATGTCCCGCAGCATCGGGATGGGCGACGCCACAGCCCTGAAGGATAAACATAAAAAGAGGAGGAATAAATAAAGAGTTCTCATTCAGCAGGTTTGGAGTGAGGAGAGTTAAGATCATATGAAATGAGGTCAAAGTGTAAGAGAGTGAGAATAAAGCGGCTGTTTCCTTACTTATCTGGTAGAATAGGGTCGTCATCAAGATTTAATGTACCTTGGATTCCATGGCACAGCTCTGCAGGGATGTCAGTGCCCTGAAGGAGGGAGAGGTGGAGATAATGTATATGTGACACATCTCTACCTTAAAGAAGTCTTCTTCATGTCCTGGGTTTAAAACTTAACTGAAGTCAAATTAACGTTAAAGGAGCAGTATGTAGCTCTGACACCTAGTGTTTAAAATGGGTACTGCAGTCTAAATTCTAAACATTGTAGAGCGCTGTGAGGGTGTTTACAAACTGCAACAAACTTTTCTACTGACATTTAAAGTTGTGTTAATCAAGACAAATTAATTCAGTGGATGAAACGCATTGTCAATGACACGACACCTGCACAGATACACAAACACATCTGCAGCAGAAAATGCAGATCTTTAATTTTAACGTGAGAGTTTGATGCAGTGAACCACAGAAGAAGAAGAAGACTATTATTACAGACACGTGTTGACGCAGCAGCTGACTGTGTGCAGAGAGGGGGGAGCGTCTCAGCTGCATGATGCATCAAACCACAGCTAAGATAAACTGAAGATACACATCAACTCAAAGTGTACTGGGAAACTTTATTTACCTCATGAGATTCAGTGCGGTAGAGCTCGTGGATGAAGTCGAAGAGAGGGTGAGCCTTCCCGAGGAAGAACAGGTCGCTTCCCAGACTGTTCCTTTTTTCTGCAACAGAGAGAAGACAGCAGCTGTGATCACGGGTCAGACTGGAGATTACAACCTGATCACACACCACCAGCAACAAAGAGGCTGCGTCTGCTTTTCATATTTCAAATCTAAGGACTCGCAGACTTGTGTTGAGAGGTTCAACAGATCACCAGCTCAGATCGGTTTTAGGATCAACGATAAAAATAAAAAAGGAATTAATGACACTGCATTTTTACAGCTCTACAAATCAGGTTTTCAAAAAGGTGATCGCACATCCAAAACTATCTCGTTAAGTAGGACACAAAAGAAAAAAAAACCTGCACAGTATTCTTGCTCGGCATCAGAAATTTGTCAGGAAAAAAAAAAACAAGATCACACCGTTTCGGTTCCTCTGAATCTGTCAAGTCAAAATGCTTCCTCATGATGTTCACTATACTCATCCCTACAACTCCAATAATAACAAAACTCAAGCGGGTAGATAAACATGACCTCTCTTTATGTTTACAAAACGGTTTTAGTGATCTGAGTTCAACACACTGTGACAATAAAAGCTGCAGCATTTCAGTTACGCTCCATGAGGGACATCAACATAACTAAAAAAGGATAAAGAAATCTTAGCTGTGATCTTCAGCTCGATGATCTCTGACGATGTTAAACACATAACATTCACACAGTTATTTAATCACATGTGTGTGTCTGTGTATATCTGTGTGTTGGCTTTAGCTACAGAGCGTGTTGCACAAGTAGTTTAAGGACTATACCTTCAGTTTTTAGATCAAGCACAGCACTCTGTATCTGAGTTTGTAGCTGCAGGCTTTAAGGGTACATACTATACATTTCTGGTTGTCCACGGTTACCACCAGCTGATACGTGCATGATAGATACACACGGTGAGGTGGAATGGGGAAACTTCAAGGCAGTGTTTGAAGAAAAGTCATCATGCATAATGAAATATCAACACGTTTTAGTGTGCAGGTCCGCAAAAACTCTTGAAAGAAATGTTCTAAAGACTGCATTTAATTCTAATTCTTACAGTGGATCTAATAGGGATCACGTGTAGCTAAGGCGTGGCGGCAGATTCCAGATAATGGATCCGCTACAACCCGTTTCAAAACAAGTTCAAACTGACAATTCTAAATCTTAAAACTATGAACATTATAACTCATCACAGGAAGACACATCCCGCTCTAGACGGTATGGAAACATCAGCTGAGAGATGGATTGTGCATTACTCACTTTCCTCAGATGTGAGGTCGGGGTAGACGTCAGCCAGAGCCGCCCACAGCCGGCGTTCATCCACGAAGGGCAACAAGGCCACACCTTGAAAAAAAAACAAAAAACGTGTCAGTGGAGTTCTTGGAAAAGTGAGTTCATGAATTCAAGTTTCTGATGCAAAACTGCTGGAACATAACAGCTTAAATACATCCTCCTGCTTTTCACTGCAGGGTTATATTTTTGTCTCACCCTGCCAGGCGTATTTCTTGCCGTTGAGATCGATGGCAAAGTCATCGGGGTAGAAGTCGATGATGGAGGAATCCTGTGTGAAAAGAAGACGAAGGACATGAAGACGCCAAAGCTGAAGAAAATCAATTCAGACCAAGGTTGTCCGCTCTGGAAGGAGTCTGATTCTGTGGCAGACATTTCTTCTTGTTAACCAAAGTATTTTTTTTTTGATCTCTCTGCACATGACACTTACCGGACTGCTCATGAGAACTCGCCACGTTTCAGGCAGGAAGTTACCGCTGGCTGCAGGAAACACTCCCATCAGCTGCTCCAGGGGCTTGAACTGGACACGACAAAGGCACAAACATTACAAAACACGGTTCTCAACTGGTGGGTCAGGACCCAAAAGTGGGTCGCTGGGAGGTTTTTAGTGGGTCACAGATGTGTGCCATGAAAAAAAAAACTTGTGGCAAAAAGTCTATGCTGCAGTTTCATTTTAAAGAACGTGTGTGTGTGTGTGTGTGTGTGTGTGTGTGTGTGTGTGTGTGTGTGTGTGTGTATGTGTCAGTAGGTGGCGGTGATGCACTTTAACGCTGGTGATCTCCCTTCAAACGACAAGAGAGGAAGACGAAGTACAAAGTCTGTTTTTAACAATCTGTCAGCTGGTAAACAAACCAAAACAATGAAATCTGTTTTTCTGAGATCAAGCTGCAAAAGAGAAAACCAGAGAAGAAGAGAAACGAGTTGTAGGCGTGTGTTCTTACAGGTTTGGTGTCCTTCTCGAAGTCGGTGAACATCCCTTTGATGTCTTTGAAGTCAGAGGCAAACGGGGCGTAGTGAAACGGGAAGTACCACTTCCAGGAGGCACAGCCCTGCAGAGCGACACAGAAACAATCCCGGGATTTAAAAAAACACACACACACACACACACACACACACACACACACAGAACATCTGACACTGCTGCATGCATTAATCTTTTAACTAAGACTGCAACTCTGAAGTATCTGCATGAAAGACTGATCTGATCATCGATAATCAGAGTTAATCACATTACAGCTAAAGGCGTCACATCTTGAAAACAGGTCGTTCAAAAGAGAAAAGGGTAAAAAATCTGATAACGCAAATTTATAATTGGTGGTGGGCGTGTTCACCATCAATTTTCATGGTGATGGCAGTCATTGCATGGACCAGAATCACCTGGGTTCTGGTTTAAATGAAGGGGGGGGGGGGGCTAAGAACGAAAGCTATCTGTTGACCGCCTCACTACACTGAACTCCAATCACACGCTGATCTTAAGATCTGCTAACTGGTACCAGCTGTCGATATTTTTTTCAAAGAAATGGTGAAACATCTTGGATCAGGAAGTGAATTATTCTGACAGCACGTCATGTGTTTAGTCCCTCACCATGACAACCTGCACGGGCCGATAAAGCCTCAATGACATCACATTATACAATTAGATTCCAGTCTTCAGGCGGTTAAAACATCCAGTTTGTGTCGTTTAAAATTTTTCAGCAGGAGTGGGTTAACTGGGATCTAAACGAGGCTGATTCATTCTGGGTGACTGGAACAAAATGGGTTCAAGCTTTTCAAGACGTCAGCTGATTCCTTTGTTTGAAACACGAGGAGGCTGACAAGAGAAACTCCGGGTAAAGTCCAAATAACAAAATTCGGCTGACTGCGTTCACACATGCACACGAGTTTTCTACAAGAGTGAAAGCTCTATAGGAGGAGAATTAAGAACTCAGAATCTCCATGTCAAAAGTGAATTTTGAAGATGCCTTTGAGCAGCCTAGACAGATTTCAAACTGTTGACCTTTATCAAATCTGGCACATTTTTTTGCACAGGTGTTTACACAAAAAGCACTTTTTTCCCCCTTCATGTTCAGACTGTATTTCATGGTCTAATCATGTTTCCCCTCTTCACTTCATTCTCACATTTTTTGTGCACCTTCACAGCAGGTCAAATTGCTCCTGATCCTGAAAAGACGATAGCTGCAGATCGTCACATTTCAGACGCTGGAGTCGGACACGTCTACAGGTAACGGCTGCGTGTTAGTCGTTGGGTTGGATTTGTTGTGCGTGGAACTCTTTCATCTCGAAGGTTATGCTTGGAGCAATTTATTGCCGAACAAGCAAAAAAATGAAACACGGTTAAGGAAGACCGGGAAATGAAAAGGAAATAAAACCTTTTCTTTGCCCTTTTTACCCAGAAGTTCCTCGTCGGTGTGAAGCTTAAAATCCAATCAGAGCAGACTAACGGAGCTCAGCTGACATTTAAAAGCTCGGGTAGAGCGTGTGTTTCAAACTAAAACCGATTCATTTTTCCCCTTCTCTCTCAAACTCTGATGTTGTTTTCAATCTAAATTGAAGGAAAAAAAACTCATCCAGTCCTCGGATGTATTGGACTGTACCCAAAAAGCTGAAGTATCTGATGATAAAAAAAATCCTCCCCTACACCTGCCGAGAGGCTTTCACATCTCTGAAACAGTTCCCTCCCTGAGCTCTGTGTTTCTCAAATGTTTATGTAGAAGCAGAAACGACAAGAAACAGAAATAAAAGAAAATCTAATCCTTCAGATCCAGCGTTTGGAGCACTTATCCTTCCTGAACAAACACGTCTCACACAAAAGAACGACCTTCACTTCCCACAATCCACCTCTGAGAAAAACAAGGCCCTCTGATAAACCCTCGCATCTCGGCCAATCTCAGCACTCTATTATTAAACATGCTCATTCAGATGATAATATGGGACTTTACCATGAAAAGCCGGAGGAGGCTCCCCGTCTTCACATTCAAATAATCGCACAAATCGTTTATGTTAATACACGCCATGTTTCGCCCTCCGAGGGGGAGACTCGTGTGTGACTGCGGACGCTGGGTCAAAGATCGGGAACGCACACATAAAATTAAAAAACATCTAATTCACTGTCCTGATTTTGGAAACAAATCAACACGCAGAGGAAAGACATCTAATTTATCCCTCGTCGTTTAATTAGATTTTATCTGGAGGTTTTCGTCTGTCGACTTTAGTAGTTAAATAAAATAAAAACAGGTCTTTTATGTAATGCCTTTTCTTTCAAACAGGATTAGCATGAATTGTATTTACGCTTTAACGCTGTTTTAAGAGTTGAACTGAGGGAAAATCAGCGATTATTTTACTCAACATTTTCATTATTTCAAAATGAATCTGCTCGTCAGAAAGAAGTAGAAATATCTTTAATTTGGGGTCAATATTTGAAAAAAATGGTCGTCAGTCGTCTTTGTTTTTAAATATTCACACACAAAAAAGAAGCCGTCCTTTCTCTGTGAGTCGGTAAGAAACTGAAGAGCTCGGAGTGATTTGTTTTCTCTTCTGTGTTTTGAATAAACCCAGCTCTGCGTTCCCTGATCACTCGGCGAGGTGTGCGTGATCATAACTCTGCAGCGGCGGCAAACAGAAGCGTGAATGTGTTGAAGCGGTGAGCAGACACGTCCCCCCCGCACCCCCCAACTCCCTCCCCGCTCCATCCGCTGAAGAAGGCCCCGCTAATGAATTCTTCCAGAACAGCCCCCGAGACGGGCTTTGGATTGGCGAGCGTGCAGAGTCAACACAGAGCGTGCATACACACGGCTCACAATCAGCCCGACAAATCCCGCCGGCTCTCCTGAAGAGGGCCCACAGCTGATTATTCATTTCAAGATAAAGATCAATATTTCACTACAATAAAATGATTTAGTGTTTAATCACACGGCAAACAATGAGAGGAGATATCAGAGACGGCGCGGGGAGGTTTATTTGACAGAGACACTCGACAGAGAGGACTTCTTGACTCCACACATAAAAAAAAAAAAATTAAACGCGTCTGTAAAAAGACTCGCTCCTTTGTGAACGAGCGGTTATCATGAAAAGAAATCAAATGAATGAGGTTTGAAACTGTTTCTACAATCCCGCAGTAACATCTTAAATCTCTGAATACACATTTTTCTCTTCATCAAACCTGTTCAACATCCAGGACAGTTTTTAATTTCCATGAGAGGAGAAAGGTCAGGGAGACATTTTTTTAACAGTTTCTAAAGAGTCTGCGCTGTGAAAAATTTTACTACAGCTTTAGTAGTTTCATTTTCACAGTGAAAAAAGCTTTTTACCTCTAAAAAACATTCAATCACTCCAGAGAACCGTATTATCTGAATCTCTTATAGGACTCTTCTGTGTTAAATATCAGAGACACCATACTGACAATGATCCTATTGGAGCTTTTGGTTCACATCGCTATAGAACACAATTCTATCATTTAACAACCCCCCCCCCCCCAGGGTGTCAGGTTTTAGTCTGGCTCGGGTCGGTTAGATGTGAGGTTTTAGTCTGACTTGGGCCAGGTAGATGTGAGGTTTTAGTCTGACTTGGGCCAGGTAGATGTCAGGTTTTAGTCCGGCGCGGGTCGGTTAGATGTGAGGTTTTAGTCTGACTTGGGCCAGGTAGATGTCAGGTTTTAGTCCGGCTCCATCAATGTCAACACACAACTCTGATGTAAAGTCACATGATCTTTAACTTCAGATAATATTGTTGTGTAGAAAAGCGGTCAGTGTTACCTGGTAGTAGTAGCGCAGCACCCAGCAGAGACCCTCCACATACGACTTCACCACCTTCTTCCTGAACTCCTCGTCGGTCACACACACGTCAAACTTGGTCTTGTAGTATCTCTGCTTCCAGCCTTCCTCCCACAACCTGCACAACACACACGGTTATAAAACTTACTCATGGGAAACATTTTCAGCATGCAACTTTTCCTGGAACGTAATGGAAAAAACCTTCTAGGTTTCACTCGTGAGGCTGCTGTGGCTTTCACATTTTATTTCCCATTACTTTCTCTGTTTTTTGACCTTGAAAATTAACGTATTCTGCTGTTGAACATATTTGTAATGTAAATGTGCCTAAAGGAACATTAGCTTATTAAAGCCACTGGTTTGGAGGATGCTGCTGCTGCTCGTGTTAATCTATAGGCCGAGAGAAAAACTGCATTAAGTTCCAGTCGGCTGCTGGAACAGTTTAATGGCTTTGACTTCTTGGTAGATTTGGGGCGTCGATGCCGTTCTGCTCAGATAATCAAGCCGGTCCAGCATCTGTGCGGTGGATCCTCGGAGCGGCCCGCGGGGAGCGCCGGCTCCTGAGAGGAAAGCCGCCATGAATACCAATTTAGCCCGTGGATTTAGTAGCTCTGACAAGTGCGTCACAGAGGAATTTACTCGAATATTTCCTGCTTTCATATTAATCACGTGCAGAAGGAGGTGGAGCTACTTAACAGAGGG